GGTGTCAATGAAATATGCATTTGGAAGTCATAAAAGCAAGTTCTTTTCTATTTGTGCAGCAACAAAGAGCCTGAGCAGCATGACCGGTCAAAAAAGCAGAAAGATTACGACGTTGGATCTGACCAAATCTCTGACTGCCAAACCCTGAGTTGGACTGCAAAAGCTCAAAATTGTAGTCTTTAGCGTTAACCAGTAAACACCATGTTATTTCCAAATTGCAGTGCTTATTGAAATTATAAAGATCCTTTATTTGCATTTTTAAAAAGTACTCTTTCTCATCTATTAGATTTGGTTTTAATAATCTGGTATTCCTGTGCAATGAAGCACCAAATAATATTAACCTTCAGCTTTGGTCTGTCTTAAATCTTCACATTTTTGTCAAGACCAGCAATTAACAGAACACAAATCCATAACACAGCGCCTGCTGATGAATTTAAGTGTGGCAACAGCTATGGAGAGCCAAAAACAACAAAAAACTGAAAATGAGCACGTTCCATCTAGGAAAGCTGTCGCCTGTCAATATAGAGCAGAGGGAGAGCACTGAAACCTATAAGTACATTTAAATACAGCAAATGATTTAGTTTACTTTTATAAGTGGACAGATAACCGGTGGATAGGTAAAATACTATTAAGTTATAACTTTTGTCTCATTCTTTAATCCTTTTATCAGTGTCTTGTAGTGTTTCCAAGTCTTTTAAATGTGTAAACACTGAAACAGTAGGCAAAAACATTGTATGTTGTTTTATTGACGAGTGTTTTATGTCAGAGTTCTATTTTGTGTTGGCTGGTTTTTGTGAGTAAAAGAAAACATTATTAGAATATAATGTGCTTACATTTGCTTAGATGAGAGGGTCCAGCAGTAGATCAGAGGAATGGGGAAGGATTTGTCTGTGTGTTTTAGTTTGGTTTAGCTGTAGGCCTGAGAGTGTGTGTAATTGTGTAGAGGGAGAGGAATTTATTGACATTGGAGGTCTGCCTGTCATGAAAGGAAACAGGAAGTTACAGTTGGGGGATGTTGATGCTGATGCTTGTCCCTGAATGTAATAAAAGCTCATAACTGTTAGGACTGGCCCATATTATACCGTTCACGGTAATACCGGTACAATGCAGGCAATGTACAACAATAAGGCAACAATAAGAATATGAAATATTGCGATAGAATATGGGTAAAGCGCGCATGCGCAGTGCCAAAAAAGCACGGCGGTAACAGAGAATGAGAATGGGGAAAGCAGATTGAGTGAAACGGATACGGATAAACCAGAATTAGTTTGTAAAAGTGGTGCAACTTAACTGGTTTGGTGTTTGTCCGTCAGCACATTTTTTTGTGCAAGCGGGCCGTTGTTATTGCCGTATTTGTCGGACTAAGGTGCTCGTAAATCTGGGAGTAATCTGGGTCCTAAACTCTGTCCTCTAAGGTCCCGAAGTCAAACGAACATCACTGAGAGTTAAAAACTGTCTAAATTCTTCCATCTTTAATAAAACGATCAGCATTGCTGCTTTGCCAGGTGTAACTATGACGTTTAACATCCAGGCATCCACAAAAACAGAATTCATTACATTTAACGGAGTTCGAAGTTAGCAGGAAGTTAGCTCACTAGTTTCGCTAGTTACCTAAGCATGATATAGCATGTTCTGACTGAGAGATTTCTGAAAAAAATCAAACGTACAGCTCTGCTATCACTTCCAACATAAATGAAGACAGGAAGCTACACCACAGTGACGTTTGTAGGGTTACTGAAGTTGGGCTAGGTGGTAGTGGTAGGGCTGCTCAATTAATCGAATTTTAATTACGATTACGATCTGGGCTTTCAACGATCATTAAAAATGACTGAGCCGATTATTAGCCCCTCCCTCGTGCTTTACTCTCGCGCTGCTCCATGTGGCAAATCGAGCGCACCTCTCTGCATTTCAAACACGTGTCACAACAATTAAGAGCAGCGGTCCCCAACCTTTTTAGCTGCACCACAGAGCAACACTGCAAAGTTCACTAAACATAGATGTTTGCATTTTTCATTTATTTTTTTATATAGCAAACATTTGCACTGTTATCAGTATTTTATATTATTTTTTGACAATCTTTAAAGTCATTATTCAACACATTGTTATTGTTAAATAAATATCGTCAAATAATCGAGATCTCAATTTCAGTGAAAATAATCGTGATTATCATTTTTGCCATAATCGAGCAGCCCTACTAGCTGGTATATAATGATGTGCTACGTGATCGCTAGCGACACAGCTATGTTGAGTAAACAGTGAAGCTGAAGGATGAACGCTAACACTTTTCCACTCGATAAAAGTTAACGTGAAGGTTCCTGATGGTTAGCGACAAATGCAACCACATGGCAGGATGCTGTAAACGGACCAAACTTCAGTCAGGAGAACTGAGATAATCCATCCACAATATGAGGTTAGTCATTAATATACTGCAACAACATGAGAATAGAGCAGCTGTGATAGAGTACAGCATTAATGAAACAATGGTACAGAAGTGGAGGAAGAAAGAAGGATGAGTTGAAAGTTTGATTTATCTGACTGTTTTGTTGCCTTATAATCCCGTGCACCTTATGGTCCAAAAAATACATATTTGACATTTTTATTTGGCACACTGCAGTTTAATGTAGCAAAGCACCTCTTTTTAACTTCAGTGGTTATTATACATGGTTAAGCTCAGGATATGTCAGCCCATTTCTACTGGAGATGCCCTTTGGTTAAACTTTCAGCAAGGAATTTGCATTTGCACTGTTAAATGTTTATATAGCTTTAATGCACATTAAAAAAAACAGCTGCTTGTTTAAGTGAAAATAAATGGATGGGGTTTTTTTGCGCTAGTAAAGTTGTGGAGTTGTATTTTGTTTCGCAGAAATTATATCGTCAGTTATATCGTTATCGCAAATTTTCAAATATATATTGTGATAAATATTTTTGGCCATATCGCCCTGCCCTAATAACTGTCATAACTTAGAAGTAGGTTTGCAGGAGACTCTCCACATGCTTAGCTGTAAAAGTAAGATGACAAGAGGCCAATGGCCCAGTGGATGCAGAGTGGGGGTCTCAGTGCTTGTAATATGTTTTCTATGTTTTGCAGAGGAATTTGGTGTAGCTTGGATGAGGGGAGATGGACTTTTATGACCGACAAGAAGTCACACACCCACACGCACACTCACTCACATATACACACAGGTACGCACACACAGGCACTCAAGTGCTCGCACATACATACACAAACACAGAATTTACAACACACCATGTGGGTTTTACGATGGGGTTGCTTCTATAAAACTGGTTGTAACAAACAAAGAAGTGAAGATCTGCAGAGGGACACCGGCCCTGTACATCTCCCCTTCTAGAAGGTGCATGTGTAACTGAAGATGAATAAAGGTTTTGTGAAATGACTACTGAGTCCGGTGTAGTCTCTGGAGGCCTGAGGAATAAAAAAGAACCGGGGTGAAACTGCTTTACGTAACATTTTCAACAAATGTATATTTAAACCACAAAACAAGAAACTTTTATTTTCTTACAAGTGGTTGCTTGAGTTTTGAGACCACCAGACAACTTCTTACCCAACAAACAATCCAAACTGATTATACAACCGGAAACAATCATTTGCAATCAGTGATCCTTCGCAGCCACGGACTGAGCGCAAGATGTCAATTTGAAGCAAATCAAAATAACTTCAAAACTGATGCAGGAGAAACACTGTCAGAAAAAAAGTCAGGCAGTTGAAATAACGTCATGTAATCTGGGTGGTAACAGCCTGCTGACTGTCCACATACAAAATGAACAATGATAAGAAGATGGATGCTGAAACATCCCTTTGGACTTGAATTCATGGCAGCAAAATGCAGGCCAAATGGCTGCCTCTAGCTGGGATTTAAAAGAGGAAAAAAGAAAAAGCTCCAGCTTTGCAGTCGCAGTTGTTTTGCAGAGTGTGATTAGACTTTCTCCTTGGAATCACAAGGCAATCAGGAAAAGGGGAGTGTACTGTGCCGTAGCCCATACAGCTGCTACTTTCTTGCTCATTTGGGAGTGTTCGGCATTCTCTCTGAGTGGTAATTATGAAAGGAACAAAAAGGGGCCTTTACAGACAAAGGCGGGTTTGGAGTGAATGGGCCCTGCTCCCATACGCCACGAGTGTTCTGATTCCAAGTGCTGTTTCATGGGAGACGATGCGAGGCAATTATGCAGGAGAACTTGCAGGGGGCGAGAAAGGAAGAGGAGCACGGAGAGGGAGATACGCTGGGCCTGGCATAGAGAGCGGGACCAGATAGCACCATCTGCATTCTGCACATGCACTGTCCGTCTGGCTCGCTGTTGCTTTCAATAAAAGCTGGAGCTCAGGCAGACAGGCAACAGAAAAAGTATTCAAATATACAGTACAGAGGAGGACTCACTGGGCCGCACATACACCACACACCAATCCTGCACTTTACTGCAAGACTGGGCTTCATGGGATTTAATGGCATTGATTTAATTATGTTAACCAAAGCTGCCACAGTGAAAGGAGACATAATATCATAAGTGGTATTATACTGTAGGTCCCATGCAGGCAAACGCATACAATGGCACCTGCGTTTCTCAACACACCAACAAATCTCCATTTCCTGCAAATAAAATCTTTAGCAAAAACTAAGATAAGATGTATTTGCTTAAAATGGAAATATGTGATTAAAAGTGCAAATGTTTTGCAGCGCTGCTGTCAAAGAACTGAAAACAAACACTAACTGTATGTAACAGCTGAGTCTAATAAGCTACGAATATGAAAACGAGTTCTTTCTTCTTGCTGCATTAACATAACCATATCAAAGCAAAAGGGCTTGAAATTGTTTTCATCTGAATTTCTAGATCACTGATGTGCACTTTAATTTTTTTTTTCCACCTTTCCTGTGTGGGAGGGCCATTTTTGTTTTTGCTCTCAGTGGGGGGTTGAGAAACAGAGACTGACTTCTTATTTAAAATGAATCAAATCAAGAAAAGAAAGAAGAGACTGATCACGTTACCTCTCTTATCTTGTCTCGTTTCTCTTTGACGTCGGGTTCTGGGGGCTCGCCGTCGCTCACGCCCACCACCTTAGGCATGGGTACCGGCGGCAACGGTTTGGGCCCTATGTCCTTCTTTTTCAGGTCCTCCATCACTTTGTTCTTCTCCGTCTGAATCTCGGCCTTGAGCTCCTCACGTGACTTTCGCAGCTTCTCCTTTGCCTCCTGCAGTGCTCGCTCGTGGTCTGCACGGATCTTATCCCGCAGGCTCTCCTCCTCTTCCCTACAGGAGGAAGGAATAAGACAAGCTTTAATTCTTTATGCTCTGCTTTGATTCCCATTAGACCTCACAAGTCGGTTGCTCATCCCCACAGTGAAATTAGAAGTGTTACTGTAACCCTAGCTAACACACACAAAAAACATTTGGGGAAGAAAGGTGTACAGAGGGACTTGTGCTTGAAATTAATTAAAGATGGGCATTACAAACAAACTCTGACCCTCTAGGAAGTTGATATTTCATTATTTTTGGAAAATAAAACTAAAATATTTACTGTTTACCTTTTTTACATTGATATTTAATAAACTATTGAATTTCTTTAGGTCAGTAGGTTGAGGATCACTGCAACAAACATCTGCAGGAAACCATTTTACTCAGATGATAATGAAAACACAAATAAACATCATTTTCCCAGGAGAAACCTAACCCCATTAATCTACAGTTACATCAGCTCCAGGAAATGGGACAGGTGTGGAGGAACACAATGAGGAGACCAGCAATGGCAGAATGACAAACATCATCTGTGGTTCCACATGACGGTACAAACCCTAGGGGTGTTGACAAGGCTCTACCCCGCGAGGATGTGCTTCAGTAATGAAAAACAAACATAGCGGGGAGCTGAAGCAAAGGTGACAGGAGGCCGACGACACTTTGCTGTTCTTCTGTGGTCACTGAAGTAAGGAGAAACTGAAAGAATCTCTGAATCTCTCCCTGCCCTCATCTGGGTTTACACAAATATAATTTCAGCTGCATGTCAGCTGATACGCAGCAGAGGTTAGCTCTTTGAGCTGCTGACAAATGAAGACAAAGTGAATGACCAGTTCAGCTGGAAATAACTAACCACCATTACATTTATGAATAAAAAAGTATATTTCTTACATTTAACAATAACAAATTTCATTACAGTAAATTCTAGGTTAAAAACAGCTTTTTCCCTTTATATGCTACATTATTTGATTTTTGTTTTACCAAATTACATGCTACTTATCAAATATGAAAGAGAATCTGACCCATCTTGAAATCAAAACTAAAAAA